ATATATATATATTAGCACTGGGGTGGGACCCAGGACTCTGCGCACACTAGACACCACTCTGCCACAGAGCTACATTCGCAGCTCTGATTGTGATCTCTTTTTTTGCAACCTCCTACATGTTTATCCTTGTTTTCCCATTGCCAGCACCGCATTCCAAGGGACAGTTTCCTACTAGTTTTTCAAGTATACTCACTTCTGTAGAGCAATCTTTTAAAATCTATCAGGCTAATTTCTTTGCTTCAAACTCTTCAATATCTTCTCACAAACATCAAAATGCCTGAGTTAAGCCTCAAGAGTCTGAAGTGACTCTTGCTTCCTTTCTGATTGCCCCTCTACTGCTGCCTCCCTCTTCCTCTCTCATACTCAGGGTTCCAGCTAAGAAAGAGGGGGAAGAAGGGAAGACAGACAGACAGACAGACAGATAGATAGACAGAGACAGAGACTGCTGAGAGACAGAGAGCAGTGCCCAAGACTGCCGTGGTCTTGCATGTTCCCGTGTGACTTGAATCATGCTGGTTTCCTCTATGTGGCCTGCTTGTCCCACTTCGCAGGTCAAGCAGCGTCTCTCCAATGGGAATGCCTTTCTGACTACCTCCTGTCTTTTTCTAAGTCCCCATTCTGGTTTCTGGAAGTACTCAGTGCTTGCTTCCTCTTCCACAATATGTCATAATTACACTTTATCACATGTGTCACTGGGTTGTACAACAATGGAGAGCACAGACTGTAAAGAGAAAAGCATCCGGAGCACACCTGGCTATTCTGGGAACCAGAGGTTAAGGAATAGAAGGAAAACCGCAGAAAGCAAATGGAGGGCAGTGACAGAAAGAATGGTCACAATGTCAAATGCTATTGAAAGGTTGAATGTAACAAAATTCAAAATGTGTCCCAGCAGCCAATGGTCACCTCGAGGAGAGTAGTTCAAGTGGAGCAATACAGAAAATCCAGACTGCAGGATACTGGAAGGTGAAGACTCTGAGGCAGGTAAGAAAATCTTATTCTTCTAAGAAGCATGTTTACTACAGTCTAGACAAACCTTCAAGAAATGGCCAAGGAGTGAAATAAGCAAGTTACAAGTGGATAAGTACTGTATGAACCCAGTTACAGGTGAGACCCAGAGCAGTCAGATTCATTGAGACAGAAAGCAGAAGGGTAACTGCCGGGGGTCAGGGAGGGAGGGTGTGGTGCTACTGACCAGGGACAAAGAGTTACTGTTTCTCACGATGAAAAATGTGATGATGGCTCCACAACTTGCATTAATTCACATGAGAATGTACTTCATGCCAAAGAACAGGACTTTTAAAAATGGTTAAAATGGTAATTTTCATGTTTTATAGATTTTCAAAAAATTTTTTTAAGTAGCATTGGTAAGACAATAAGACAGGAACAGCTACCACAGGACATGGGATTGAGAGGATTTTGGTTTGTTCTCTCAACAGGGAAGTAAGAAATTTAAGCATGTGAGTAAGTTGCGAAAAATAAGCTAGTCAGAGGGAGACAAATGGAACTGGTCTTGAGGAGAATTAGCTGGGGTGGAGGAAGACAGGTTCCCAAATTGAGATGCAGAGGGGAAAGAGGAAAAGAAAGACCGGGTTCCTACTCACAGGGGAGTTTCTATGGATTCTTCTCCCCAAAGGCATAGATAATTCAGGTGATCTTTTATGAATCCTTTCCCTTGGATTTAATTTTCTCATTACTGCATGTTTCATATCCCAGAAATTTATAGGATTGGATTGGTGCTATCTATTTAAACATCTTGCTTTCCTTACTTTTGTTTTTACATGGTATTCAACCTGAGTGCTATCCCTGTTCTATACTAAATCACGGATTGGTAGTCTGCAGAAAACAGAAAAGGACCATAAAAACAGGCAATGGCTAATATCCCCCAATTAACATTTCCTTAGGCAATGGTACATGCTAAAAATACTGGTTAATCATCTTCATGTACCCAAGTCCTTCATAAACTAAGAATGACTATTTTAAATCATCTTGCTTAAATGATCACAGATTAGTAGTATAAAGCAGATCTTGGATTAAAAAACTGAAAAGGGCCCAAAAGCAAGAAAATGCGAACTTGTCCTTTTTTGTTCAATATAGAAACCCATGATGAGTATATTTTTCATTAGTTTCAGATGTGGGAAACTTTGTTGCCCAATATCTTTTCACTCCAACAATGACAACAGATCCAGGCAGCTGTCCTTGCCCTTCTGCGGTTTGAACAGTTACCACAGTCTCAAACAATGTCCCATTAACATATGCCCACACTGGCTTTCTCCAGTGCAATTTAAAAGCATTAAATCATCCATATTTCCAAATAAATTGGTTCCCTTTTGTCGGGATTATGAAGTTGTTTATTCCTTTGTTTTTTTAGTACTAGGGATCAGGGGAACTCTACCATTAAGTTACATCCCTGGCCCTTTTTTATTTTGAGACAGGGTCTAACTAAATTGCCCAGGTGGGACTAGAACTTGCACTCCTGCCTCAGCCTCCTTCAGTGCTGGGATTACGGACATGTACTACACCATGCCCAGCTTGGAGAAAAATTGTTCACATCGTTTCTTACTGAGCTATTCTGAAACCAGTTAAGTATGTCATGTGTATCTTTGCACAACCGTAAACTGTACTTTGCTACATATGATCTGAACATCAGAATACATAGTGGGTGAAAATGCACTGTGATGTCAGCACATGATGATTTTGCTTTGAATCCTACCTGTGTGTCCTCTGAATGTTGTGACCAGTGTGCAACTTTCTTGTTCCAGTTTGAGGATTGTTACTTGGCCTGAGTGGTCACCAATAAACACATGCCGGGTTTCAATATCAAATCTGTCATGTAAGCATTAAGGATTGTTTCTTAAAATTGAAGAGGAGGATTTACAATGGAAAAGAAAATGGCATAAATGTAACAAGAAATGTGCAAATTTCACACTAGGAGAATCTGAAGAATGTGCTAAAAGACACAAAGGAGGCTTAACAAAATGAAGGACATACTGTATTATTGGACAGTAAGTCTCAATATGATTAAGATGTGACTTCTTAGTACATTAATTTGTAAATTTAATATAATCCTCAAAAGGAATTAGCAGTGTTTCGAAACCTGGTGTGTACATTCCAAAGGTCAAATGGAAAAATGAATAAGCAAGAAGAGCCAAGAATACTTTGAAAATAAGAATAACATGGTATGTAGCAAGGGGAGTTACCGTATGAGATAATGAAACACGTTAAAAAATGTCTTTACTTAAAAGTATGATATTGGTGTATGTATACAGACTAATAGAACATAATATGAAATCTAGAAATAGACCTCAAAGCACACAGAAATTTAGTACATGTCTGGCAAAGGTAGCTCTTCAAACGAGTAAGAAAGACACAATTAAAAAGTGATATTGGCACAAGCTAGACAGTTACTGTATTTCCTATTGTGCACATGGCTAAGTTATCAGTCATATGCAGTCTAATATCAAAATTTATAAGGAAAAATCACCTTAAATTTATCTTGATTAATTATAAGAACAAAAATATAAAACCAGATTCAATCTGGGACTCAAAAGTCTTTAAAAAAATTGCAAATAGGGCAGGGACAAGGGGAAAAAATGAGAACCAAGACCTGTCATGTAAAGGTACAAGATCCCAATAATGAATGTAATTGTATTGTATACCTAAAATGTACCAATAAACTCAATGAGAGAAAAAAATTGCAAATGAATTATGGTATCCTCTAAAAATATGAATTCAACAAAAGCTACGTAGAGAAGGGTGGAAATAAAGGCCAGATGAGATGAGGACAGTACAAGGCCAGAGTGACTGACATTAAATATGATATGAAGAAATTGAGATAATCTCAATGGCCTTTCAGAACTCTTTACCTGACTAGAACTATTCTAAGTGATTACATCAGGTGGAAAGACATTTCACAATAGAGGGTGACATTCTGAAAATATCTCCAACAACAAAGAAAATCCTAAAATTAAAGAGCACTTGAATTATTTTTGTGGAAACATAAAAAAATATGATCAAAACAGGGTTAAAAAGATAACCAAAGAGCGTGGATAAAGTATTTACAAATTTAAAGTACAGCAAGTAAAGTAGGGAAGGAAAACATGAACTTCTATTTTCTACTACCTACCTGCCATGGGACCCTTGGGAAATACCACCAATCTAGCTATATAGAGGGCTGATAAAAAAAATTATAATACTCAAATTCTAATCCTGGTTTTGTCTTGTGGCTTCAAGCAAGTCACTCAATGTCTCTGAGTCTCTGTGAGCCTCACTGAGCCTTGGTTACTACATAATGAAATAGAAAATTAGGTTATTTCATTTTTACTGCACCTTACTGCCTTGATACTGAATGAAGTAATGTGTATAAAAGCACTTTATGAATTCTGAGGGACTTCAGATATGAGGACATTTTCTCCCCTTTCCTCTTTTTTTCTTATTATTGTACTCTTATTGTTATGGGTCACTCAATACTTGAGGTTTAAACTCTGCAGCCAAACAACCAAATAATTTGAGGCGACTCAGAAGTCAAATTTCAATTGTGAAGTGCTCCATCTGCTTGTCTTCCTTTATATTTCTGTTTGAATCTTAGCTGCTTTTATGGCATATTTACTTCTCCACTAAGAGGACTGAAAAAGAAGGCTGAATTCAATCTGATTTATCCTTTCACTTGGGTGAATGAATGAGGTGGAGATGGAATAAAATTATTGTGCAGGACTCTTACTTATATTACTAGCTGTCCACCATGAAGGTAAATAGAGCTAATGATATAATTCTGAACAGTTTACATTGTATCCTCAAACCTTCCGCCTCCTTTTATCAAATAAAACACTCTAGGAGAGTACAGAGTGGCAGGAAGCAGGGAAGAGGTATATGTGTGTTGGGGCTCTCACAGATGAACACATTTAAAGCTTTATCGATAGGGGAACCCTAATACTGCAGTGGCTTGACTGTTAACAATCTGTCCATCAGCCAACTCCCACAAAAGCTCCTTGGAAAAGTCACACAGTTCTTGGCTGAGACCCTCTGGCGAAAGCACAGAGATGTTCATGCCATCAGGATTTCGCACTGGAAATATACCCAGGAGCAAGGATTGGCATGGTGGCTCCAAAACTGGAGCTAGCAAGGCAGACTTGGTGGGATCAGGGAAATTTACAATGGCCTGTTGATAGGGGTGCAGTTTCAGCTGCCATCACAGCAAGGGGATGGTCATTTAGCCTTGGAACAGAAGCCTAGAGGCGTGCATGCGCGTGTGCACGCGCGCACACACACACACACACACACACACACACACACACACAAGCTTCTGATAGCAGTAATATAATTTTCTGCTTGGTAAATTACATAGCATGGCCAAAAGAAATAGTCACAAAATGAGGATGACTTTTGGAACTGATGGCTATAATCTTACACTAAAGACCATGATAATCAAATAGAAGTTGAACTTTGTGTCTTTAGTTTTGTTCATCATTTTCAGATTAAAAAGTTAATTTCTTGAGGGGAAGAACAGTATTTTTTTCATACTTCTTGGCTTGGCTAAGTGATTCAGAAGATAAAGAGAAGACACATTAGTAGGTTTGGCTAGTACACAGCAGCCACTGTAAGAACAAATTATACTGGTGCCATGAGTCTGTTCTCAACAAGGCAGTGCAGCACAGTGGGGAAACAAAACAAGTGTCCAAGGCAGAAGACTTGGGTCATGGTGAGGATTTTCCTTCTAGCTGGATGGCTTCAGAGAAGATAAGGAACTATTTCTGGGCTTCCGCTGTCTCAGCTGAAAAATGAGGGTGCTATAGACTGAAAAATTTTAATTGACAAAAAAGATTGTATATATTCAAGTTATATAACATGATGATTTGATATATGTATGGATTGTGGAATGATTACCACAATCAGTTAACACATCTACCACCACCTATTATAACTGTTTGTGTGGGGTGGGGGTACAGAAGATTGATTATTTACACCCTCTTCAGTTCATATGTTGAAACCTAATTCCCAAAATGAGACGGTTAGGTCATGAGGGTGGAATCCTTAAGATAGAGCTAGTGCCCTTGTCAGACACCCCAAAGAGCTCCCGTGTCCCTCCCACTACGTGAAGACATGGTGAGATGCTGTTCATCCTCAAACCAGGAAGGTGGCTTTCACCAGATGCTGAATCTGTTGGGGCCTTGGACTTAGAATTCCCAGCCTCCAGGGCTATACGAAGTAAATTTCTGTTGTATATAAGCCCATTGAATTTATGGTCATTCATTAATGCAACTGAATAGATGAAGATAGAGGGGGAAAGACTAAGGATTCTTTCAGCTCTAACACTATAAGAAATAATTGTTGGCAAGAGGATTCATATATTTTAATTCAAAAATTATGCTCATCTGAACTGGATTTCAGAAAGTAAAGCCTGGAGTTGATGTTGCTTTCCATTCTTTGTCATCCTTGTCTCTGATCTTGGTAACTTGCCACTTTTACAACCTTTCAAATGGTCATTCTTAAGTTTCTTTATTTTGTTCTTCCAATGAGAAAAAAAAAAGAAATATTAATCTATACACATACACACACAGATATACCCACTGCCTCATATTTGCAAACAACTCGCAATGTACTTTGTCAAACTGTTGGCTAACTAGGCACTTTATAAATACAGAGATGAAAATTAAAATGAAGACTTACTATTTCTTCCTGTATTTGCTGACAAGTGATCTGTTTCTACCTTCTTCTTGCAGTGGGACCATCATAATACTCACAAGATGACACTATGCTTGTTGAAGCCCAGCTGGGCAGAAGTGAGGATTGCCCAACATTAGCAGGGGCTCACCTTAAGCATACGATGTGGCAACTTGGGAGATAAGAATATCACTTTATATATCCTGGACAAGTCTTGTGCCTGAAACAAAGCTTGAACATTACCAGGCAGATTCCAGCTAACCCACTCTGGTCCTGGCATGGTGACCACTCAATGTATTTTTTTAAATGAACAGTAATCTGCTGGTTCTTTTCCCAGGCACCAATGGAATGTTTTAACCTTATCATCTATCTGTAAATTACTTGTGTACACAATCAAAAGTTGTGTTTTGGAGATGGTACAGCTGATGCTGACAGCTGAGGGTCAGAAATCTGGGCTGTGTTCTGTCTAAAGATCAGAACTGTTTCTCAGTAGACCTACAACCTGCTCAGCAGGGTCTATTATGGAAGGTGTAGTTATTTCACTTCACTCAACTTAGATGAGAGCCCTTGATGACTTGTGCATTAGAATACTCAAAGAAAATCTTAATCACACAGGGCAACTCAGCATATATAATAAGAACATTTCAAATTGCACATACCTAACATTTTCATGAATCAAAGAAGTCAACAGCTAAGTTCCCACCACAGAGTTTTGTCCAGCAAAGGATACTGCAGGCCTGAGGCCACGGCACTGGTGCGATAACCTCCTAGGCGCTGCCCACTCTCAGAGCAGTGCCAGGCAAACTGTTTGTCTTGTCCAGTACTCAGCACCCACTCCAGCTCCAGGACAAAGAGGATCATCGTCACTCTGCTTTGATGCGCTGAAAACCAAGAGACAAAAGGACAACCTATAAAGTGAGCATCCTCAGAGAAGTTGGAAAGTATGGCCTAAACAGATGTGAGCGCTTTTCTTCTACCCTAGGGAGGATGACAGTGCAGGCTGTTAGGGACACGAAACAATACTGGCTGTCATGATGGGTGGGGGTTTGCCATGTAGATATATATATAATCTATCTGTTCCCAATGCTCCCCACTTATGCCAATCCAAGAATTGCTGCCTGCCTGTCAGAGTACCTACTCAAGGCCCTGGGCCACTTCTTTCTTTTTTTTTTGGTACCGGGGATTGAACTCGGGTTCTTGCGCTTGCAAGGCAGACCACCGAACCGCTGAGCTAAATCCCCACCCCCTGGGCCACTTCTTTCAACATTCTAGGGTACTAGAGTACCAGACTCAGTGTGACCCCCAAAACATTAGGAATGACATTTTTAATGCAGTAACTGTGGTCAGTTTATGTGTACTTCCAGAAAAGGTAAAGAGCATATTGTTTTTTTGCTGAAGACTATTTTATAAATTCCTAACAAAATTCTGGATGGACAGCTGTCAGAAATGAGACACTTAGAAAGGACACAATGATGAAAACAGAATATATCTTATGTTTCATTATTTATATAATGAAAGCAATTTTCCTAGAGTTATTCATTATGTATTTCCTGGATTACATAATTTCAGAGTTAGAAGAAACTATGCCCTCCAGCTGATCTGATCTTGCTATTTTTGTATGGGCAAAGGAAGGCACAATGAGGGTAAGTAATTTGGCTATGGTCCCATGGTTTCTACCAAGTGAAACTAAGTAAGAGGATGTTTGCTTTCTTATTATTGCACAATTCTAGGGAGTGAGGTGCTGGCATCTGTGGTCACTGAACATAGCTGACTGGAGATGGACATCCTCCCACTTGGCTAGCACTTAGGTGGGGCAGAGGCACACTCAAGAGGCCTGCCTGCCTGATAAGTGCAAGGTCCCGAGTTCAATCCCGGTACTGGGGAAAAAAAAATAAAGAGAAAGGAGATATTAACTTTCTTAAAACAAACAAACAAAACCTGTGCCAGGGATTTAGCTCAGTAGCACCACACCTGCCTCACAAGAGCAAGGTCATGAGTTCGATCCCCAGTACAAAACAAAGACAAAAAAAAAAAAAAAAACCCAAAAACAACCCTTTCAAAAATAATCTTTATCACTAAGCTTCAGAAATTCATATATGAAAACATGCAGTTTAAGTCTGGCTTCCTGAATATGAGTGGGGAGAGGGATATCACTGCCTTCCTTGATTCTGATCTTAGGTGAGAAGCATCTGTTGCCTCATCATGAAGTATGATGTTTGCTATAGGACTTTTTTTTTTTTTTTGGAGAAAGGGTCTCACTTTGTAGTTTGGGCTGGCCTTGAACTCATGTAGATCCTCCTGCCTAAGCTTCACCAAGTACTGGGATTATAGGTTGCACTACAGGCCTGGCTCAACTATAGGACTTTGTAGATGATTTTTTTGGGGGGGGTACTGGGGATCGAACTCAGGTCCTTGTGCTTGTGAGGCAGGCAGCAGAACCACTGAGCTAAATCCCCAGCCCTGTAGATGATTTTTTAACAAGCTGAAAAAGTTTCCCTCCATTCCTAGTTTGCTGAGTTTTTAATCATGAATTGAATTTTATCAATGGTTTTGCTACACTGACTGATAAATGAATTTTTTTCTTTAGCCTGTGTTGCTAGTTAACTGATGAGTAAGAAACACCCAACTAAATTGGATCAGCTTAATTCTGGGTGTGGACAACACACCCTAGAGAGGACTGTCTTCGGAATGGTATATAAAAGGGAAATGAAAAGAAAAGAAGGAAGCCTTGTTCTGTTTCTTTGGAGGAGCTCCAATCTTCACCTTCACTTTGGACATCTTTTCCTGGCTTCCAGTGCAGACCCTTCAGCCTTCCACTGCAGACTGGCCTCAGACAGAGACTTGCACAGGACACTAAAGTAGGCTCCAGGCTTTCAACTGGATCCTTCCAACTTCCAGCATGTAGAAAGATCTTTTGGACTCTTCCACATCTGACTCTGTGGGCAGCCATTAAAATTCTTATGTATTTGTATATCTTTCGTTAAATTTGATACTAGTAAGCACTGACTGATAAATCTCATTAGGTCATGCTGTGTAATTCTTTTTGCACGTTATTGGATTTGATTTGCTAGTGTTTTTTTTTTTTTTTTTAGAATTTTGTATTCATTTTTATGAGAGACACTGATTGGTCTATAGTTTTCCTTTCTTGTGACACCTTTGGTTTGGACATCACCAATTTCTTTTTTTGAGAGAAAATTCATGTAACACCAAATTCACCAGTTTAATAATTTTAGGGTATATAATCCAATGTCTTGAGGTATTTACAATATTTTGCAATCATCTTTACCAGTGGAACATTTCCATCACTTCAAAATGATAGCCAGTATCTCCAATTCTCCCTCCTCCATCCTTAGTCAACAATGAAGGATTCTCTTATTCTTGATATTTTACATAAATGCAATCATATCTTATGTGCCTTTTGTGTCTGGCTTTTTTTACTTTAGCACTTTTTCAAGATTAATCCATGATGAAGCATGTTTTACAACTCCATTCCTTTTTTCAGGGACAAATAAATAAAATTTTGGCTATTCTAAATGTTGCTAAGCATGTAGAAAAGCTTTTGTGTGAATACACACTTTTAATTCTCTTAGATATATTACCAGGAGTACAAATATTATGTCACAAATGAACTATGTTTAACTCTGAGGAACTGACAAACTTGAAAGTGGCTGTACCATTTTACATTCTCATCATCAGTGTATGAGGGTTCCAGTTTCTCTATTTTCTCGTCAACACTGGTTTATTTTTAGGAATTAATGTTTCTGAAAACATTTAGAATGGTATGAAGGAATAAATATTATAAGAGGAGTGAATATTTATTGAACCCTTCAACTATGTTTCAGATGCTAAACTAATTTACAAATGCAATCTCTAAAATATTTTAATGTATTAAAATACACATAAGGTTTACATTTTAACTATTTTTAAGTATAAAGTACTATATTATGACATAAATACATTCACACTATTGGGTAATAATCACCTTATCAGCTCTCTAGAATTTTCACATCTTCCCAAACACAAATTCTGAACCCATTAAATAATAATTTTTAATTTCCTTTGCCGTCTAGCCCTTGGAAGACACAATTCTATTTTTTGTTTTTATGAGCTTGACTAATACTTTATACACATGGAATCCTTGTTCAGTACTTATCCTTATTTTGTAATTAGCATATTTCATCTTTAAGGTTCATCCATATTGTACAATGTGTCTGAATTTCTTCCCTCTTTAAGGTAGAATAATATTCCACTGTATATATACACTGCATTTTGTTTATCATCTGTCAAAAGACATTTAGGTTGTTTCCATCTTGTCGCTACTGTGAATAATGGGGCTATACATATCAGCATAAAAATATTATTTGTGGCTATTTTCATTTTTCTTGAGAATGTATCACTAATTAATTTTTGAATGTTAATCCAACACTGCATTTCTGGTATGAACCTTATTTAATCGTAATGTGTATCTTTTCATATGGTGCTGGATTTGATTTACTGAAATTTTGTTTGGATTTTTTCTGTATAATCTTCATACAGTATCAAGAAATGTAGATTTCATAAAATGGATTGGAAAGTCCTTTACTCAATTTCTAAAAGAGTTTGTAAAGAATTGGTATTGTTTCTTGAACGTTTCTTAAGATTCATCAGAAAGCTTTCTGGGCCTGAAGCTTTCTTTGTGGGAAGGTTTCAACTTCATATATATATAAACTTTTCATATATATATCTTGAGTTACAGTTTAGAGCTTATGTCTTTGAAAGACTTGATCATTTTGTCATATTTATTAGGGTAAAAATGCTCATAATATTTTTTATAATTCTTTAAATATACCTAGTGTCTATAATGACATTACTTGGCTTATTCCTAACATTAGTCATTTGCATTTCTTTTCCATGTAAGTCTGGCTAAAGGTTTATTACTTGTATTAATTTGCTAAAAAATCTTCCAAAATGAGCTTTTGGCTTCATTTACCTTTCTGTATTTTCTGTTTTCTATTTCATGAACTTTTGTTATAATCTTTATTTTTTTCTTCTTAAATTAGGTTTCATTTATTTTTTGCTTTCTCTAGATTTTTAAGGTGGGAATTGAGAACATTACTATATTTGCAGATCTTTCTTCTTTTCTAATATTAATATTCAGTGGACCTTTATGATTATAAAATAGTCTTTATCCCTGGTAATATTCTTTGCTTTTAAATCTACTTCGATGTTAATAAATGAAGCTTTATTTTGATTAATGTTCTCATGATATATCTCCTTCCATCCTTTTACTTCCAACCTACTTGTATCTTTAAAATAAGCTTCCTGTGGGCAGGTTGTATTTAGGTCGTATTTTTCCCCCCTCAGGCCAATAGTCTCTGTCTTTTACTTTACTTCAGACCATTTATATTTAATGTGTTATTGACACTGTCAGGTTTAAATCTATTGTCTGGCTATTTGTTTTCTATTTTCCATCTATTTTTTTCTTTCTTCTCTGATGTGACTTATTTTATGATTTTATTTTATCTTCTTAGTTGGCTTATTAGCTGTAATACTTTGTTTTTTCTTTAATAGTTGTTTTAAGGTTAACAGTTTATATGTTTAACTTACTTCTTTAAGTAATGTAACACTTTACATATAGCATAAGAACTTTACAACAGTATAATTCCATTTCTCCCTTACCTCTTTGTTTGCTAAAATTATAATAATTAAAAAAAACTTATGGTCACTATTTTTGGCACTCTTCTTCATTCTTTTGAAAGATGCATTATTTTCCTTTGTTTTTTTTTGGTACCAGGGATTGAACTCGGGTCCTTGCGCTTGCGAGGCAGGCCACTGAACCACTGAGCTAAATCCCCGGCCCTCATTATTTTCCTTTGGCATCACTTTCTTCTTGAAGAACTTCCTTTAATGTTTCTTTTAGTGCAGGTCTATGAATGGTTAATTTTTTCATGTATTTTTTTTTTCTAAAATCTCTGAAAGGTTTTTTTTTTTGAAAGATATTTTCTCTGGAATAAAGAATTCTGTGTCAGCAGTTTTTTTCCTCTCTGTACTTTAAAGATGTTCCACTGACACCAAATCCTTCTACAACTGTAGTAATTAACTCTGTGTCAGGCCTACTTAATTTACCCACTGGTTTATTATTTTGCTATTATTTAGATCAAGGATATCCCCTACCAAGAGACAGAGGAAGGAGGAAAGGGAGGGTGCTATGGTTTGGGTCTATATGTCCCCCACAGCCTCATGTGGTCATAGGGGTGGTTGAATCTAGAGTGTGTGATGCTAGGATTATGGACATATGATTACTAAGTCACTACACATGAGCCAGTGGTTTGGCATCATCCTAATCCCAGTAGTCTGAGTAAGATAAAGGGGCGAAAAGACACTGTTAAGGCCCCTTGTTGCTTTTGTTACCTTCTGGCCACCACAAACTGTTTCTTCTCTGTGATTCCTGTCTGCCATGCCACCATGTCTTGGAGCCAGCTGATTATGGACTAAAACTTCTACGAACTTTAAGCCAAATAAACCTTCCCCTCTTTAACTTTGGGTGTCAGTATTGTGGCTCAGCAATGAGAAAAGTAACTAACACAGAGAGGAAAGAGACAAAAAGGATTAAAATGTGTTATGTACATGTACCAACTTTCCAGGATGAATGTAAACATTATGTACTACAAACATGTACTAATTAAAAAAAATGTTCCCCATTGGCCTCATGTGCTCCTAAGTGAGGCTTTGGAAAGTGAATCATGGGGGCAATACAACTTGTCAGAAGATAGGGTCTGTTTGGAAGAGGCAGGTGACTGGGAGCAGGACCTGGAAGGGTCCTGGCTCTCTGTTTTTCTCATTGCTTCCAAGCTGTCATGATGAGAACTTCTTTTCTTTCACTACACCCTTTTGCCATGCTGCTCCTCTGTGGAGCTGGCCAACTGTGATGACAAATATGAGCCAAAATAAACTTGTCAAAGGATGAAGTTGTAGGTATCAGCAAAGAAAGTGCTTGAGAGATATTTCAATGATATTTTCCAGGTATAAAAATTCTATTTGATTTTTTAGTAAGTGTTTTGTATTCTTCTATCTGCTACACATTCTTTGATTTCCTTAATCGCTTAAAACAAGATCTTGTGGTTTTTCTCAGATTATTGAAGATTCCTGGCATTCTAATCTTCCTCTTTGTGGTATCTCCTAATATATACTTATTATGGTTGGTAGCTCTTTTACCTTGTTATTTCTGTATTTTAAAAAATTATGAATTGATCTTAAGTAGTCCTTTTTGTTTGTTTTTTGTGGTAGAGAGGATTGAATCCAGGGCCTTGTGCTTCCTAGGTAATAAGCTATTGTCCCAGTTCAAAAGTCCTTGATTTTGCTGTAAAGGCCTTTGTGCAATTTGTCTTACAAAAAGAGAGTCTACATTTATTTTGAGCAAGTAATCCTGGGATATCACTGATCAAGAGTTAATTTGATTAAAAAAAAAACCAGAGCTTCTAGCATTACATAATTGGTTTAGACCTCTATTAAAGTTCTGAAAGTTTTCAGTTGGGGTATTGATTCATCATGACTTTTTCCTTTGATGCAGAGCTGGGGTCAAGAATAAATTTCCCGTCTACAGTACTTCTAGGTCAATGAGTAGAGAATTTTGACCTCTCCTTTTTGGGGCTTTATATACAAATTTCACTTCTCATTTTCCATCTTACTCAGGCCATAGGCCTTAGCTCTTGTCCCCAAGTCCATGTTCATTGACAAGCATTTAGTTATTACTGCGTCTACCTCCCCAAGACAGCCACAGTCAGTTCATATGTATATCATTTTGAGGTTTAATTCTATTTGCTCTAGTACATAGGAAATTTCCTTTTTTTCTCTCTTGAGGTTAGTATTGTATTAAAAACAGATACAATAAAAAGCCTGCCATTTTAGATTACCATTAGGTGTTTGTGAAGAAAGGATTTCTACAATAGTGTAGTTATCAAATTTCATAATCCCCTTGTAGATAAAATAGAAATGCATGAGGTATATTAAAAAATAAAAAAATTCATGGTATATGTAGAGTGGTTTCTAACTGTACATGCATCACACACATATATATTTGTGAGATTGATCATTACTTTTAACAAACTCTAGGGGACAGCATATTTTATGTTGTATCCATTTAAGAAAAATAAAATAGTGGCACAGTTTATAATAGCTAAAACTTAGAAATAGCCCAGATGCCCATCAACAGAAGACTGGATAAAGAAAATGTGTTTTGTTTTGTTTTTTTTAAAAAATAAAATGGAGTACTACTCAGCCATAAAGAACGAGAGACTGGAGACATTTATAGCTAAATGGATGCACAATGAGGCCATACTCTTGAGTGAAATAAATAGGATGCACATATATAAATTACTGAATAGTTTCTCTGGTGTGAGAAATGGAAAGTGTAAATAAAGATCAAAATGCATAATGTGAAATAGGAAGTAAAGGTCTAAAGGGGAAGGGGGAGTAGAAGGGGTAGAAAGAAAGAAGGGAAGGAATAAATATGAGAAAAGGAAAAATTGGAAACAAAGTCTTTGTAAATACAGAGGGGTGGAGGGGTTGAAAGGAGAGCAGGGGAATGGGGAAAAAAACTAAGAACCAAGATTTATCATGTAAAGTTACAAATTCCCAATGATGAATGTCATCATATTGTATGCCTAAAATGTACCAATAAACTTAATGAATAATTAAAAAAAAGAAAAACACAGAATGAAGTGGGAACGAATATACTTAATAACTACTGGCAATACAAAATATCCTGCCAGGCTGAAGAAAATGAAATGATGAATAATGACTGTAAAGTCCAGCATCTACACCAAAAACAAAAATAAAAGCAAAATGCACCTTGTGAGAACTGCTAAGGAGATGACTGTTCCACATGAGTCTATGGTATAAACTGGCTGCCAGAAAGGAAAGGAAGGGAATATGATTTTGTGCTTATCTGGTTATATGCATGTATTAGTTACTATTTCTGTGTAACAAGTGACCCTAAAACTTAGTGGGCAAACAAAACATTTCAGAATTTCTGTGGGTCAGAAATCTTGGTGCAGCTTAGCTGGGTACCTCTGCATAAGTTCTGTCATAAGATGAATCTGAGGTGTGGGGTGGAGCTGTGGTCTCACGTGAAAGCTCAGTTAGCAGAAGGAATGTCTGTTCTCAAACTTTTTTACACAGTCGATGACTGGGTCAGCTATTCAGTGGCTGCTGAACTGCAGGCACTAGTCCTCAGTGGCTGTTGAGCCCTCCCTCAGTTCCTCAGCACAGAGGCTTCTCCATCAGGCAGCTCACAACATGGCAGCTGCCTTCCTCCAGAAAGCAAGCAAGAGAACGGGAGAGGATAACCAATTAAGATGCCCTTGTCCTGTGTAACCTTGAGTCATCACAATCATGTGTAAAACTGTAAGTCTAGCTTACACTCAAGGGGAGGACTGTGAATATTAGGAAGTGATGATCATTAGGAACTACCTGTCATAGTATGTCATATATTTATGTAGTTGCAAAGGTACAATATGGTACCCTAAATCTGTGACCAAGACAATTAAAACATCTTAAAAGAGCTTAAGCACAGGTCATGAAAAGCAGGAATCTAGATATAAAACGTTTAGACTAAAAAAGGAAAGGAAAAAAGACTAAACGAGGAGAAAGGACAGGAATGAGAACTTTCATGGCTGTTTTAAAATAATTGAAAGGCTGTCATGTAAACAGAAATTGTACTTAGTTTTAGTAGCTTTTAACAGGCTGAGCAAAGACCAATAGGGAAACATTCTACTACTTATCATACAGCATGTACTGTTCATCTGCTTGTATCCTCCACATAATTATAAACGGCTTACACACAGGTACTGTTCATGTTTTGTTCACTATTACAATCCGAGTCATAAGTTACTGCAACACAGTGGGCACTCAATAAATACTTGATGAGAGATATGTGAAAAAATTAAAAAATAACACCATGGAAATGAATTTCAGCTCCAAATATTTTAAAATAGAAACTTAATTCTTAGTTTTCAAAATTCACAATGACTTGCTGTATATCTGGAGGTATTAAAGGGGATGCTGGATAATCACACAGGATGAATGAGATCAACAGATATAGATAAAATACTTTCAGTCTCCTCCTTTTCTTGTGGCACTGGGGACTACTGAACCACAACTCCACCAATTTTTAAAATTTTATTTTGAGACAGGGTCTCACTTAGTCAACAAGGCTGGCCTCAAAACTGCAATCCTTCCATTTCAGCTGCCCAAATAGCTAGGATTAAAAGTGTATGCCACTTGCCAGACTTACTTCTGGGTCTAAAAGGTCTAATGTTTTTATTCCATGACATGTCAGCCTGGATAAAGGAAACCCTTTGGGACATTGATCCTGTTCTATGTATGAACATGGCCAACACGCAAATGTTGAAGGCACAATAAAAACTAATTATTTCCCCTCAATAATATGCATACTCTTGAGTACTTAGCCAAAAATGAAATAAGCCTCAGGCAAAGCACCATCACATGGCTGGCCTTACTAAGTCTAATGTGTTGACACCATCAGGAGTGTGGTGTCAAAACACAAAAGGTCGGGCTGGGGATTTAGCTCAGTGGTTCCACTGCCTGCCTTGCAAGCACAAGGACCCAAGCTTGATCCCTGGTACCAAAAAAAAACCCAAAACAAACAAAAAACACAAAAGGTCATGGCCTTGGCGTCACATTAACATGGTCTGACTCTACACTGCACATGACCACAAGCAAGTCACCCAAATTTCTTAGGCCTCACCAACTTTGTTCACAAACTGGAATAATGACTTCAAATGTGGCTCTGCTTTGTTCCCCTAAGTATGTAAAGTACTTGTGGCATGAATACTATCAAGAAATTTTGGGTTTTGAGATAGGGTCTTGCTGTATAATTCAGGTGGGCCTTGAAATCACACTGCAGCCCAGGCTGGCCTTGAGTGATCCTCCTGCCTTAGTCTCCCAAGTGCTGGGATTACAGGCATGTGCCACCACACCTGGCCTAACAAAAAAATACTTTAAAGTTTGAGAATAAAATACCTCTCGTCACTCCCTACCTTGATAGTTTTTCACAGGAGTCATCTTGTTATAGTCTTCGGACAAAATAAATTCCTGCAAAAGAAAAAAATATATTAAGCAAAAGGAAATTCTTTACGAGAATAACTATGTTTTTGTAAAAAACTGAATAAAGCCAGTGTCATCACAGAATTATATTTTGCTAATGAAATCAGAATTTTTGTACCTCTCTAAAATGAGCCATCATAATGATCCAATTCAAACACCATCTTTTAGTATATGACTCGATTTGATTTTGGGATATGCATGAAAAGAAAACTACATCAAGTGCAGAGTCTTGATAATGGTCAATTTTGAAGATAAACCAAATTCAAAATATTTTTCTTTCAATAGTGCTAGAGCTAAAAATTTGTAAGGCTCTGGTCAGTGTGCAAATAGATAGCAATTTTTTGCTAAAAGCATAAAGTATATATTTTAAGGCAGTGATGGAAAACCTTTTAGAGGTTTCAATTATAGAAAGAGCCTATTATAGAGGCACGCATGCCATAAGATTCCCACTGCTTTAAGGATTCTGCTGCTAACGTCAATAATTTATTTCTTCTTACTACATGCTTCTTGGGCTGTATCTTGCTCATTTTCTGTGTCTCTAGGGTACACTGCACAGCAAGTAATCAATAAATATTGGTTAGTTATGCGGAAGCCACCTTCCAATAAGATGAGATCGGTCTGCATGTCAAATATACTGAAAAAATTAAGTTTGTACATAGCACACTGTATATACTTTTTGTGGGGACACATCAATGGTGAGGTGTGGGATTTCCCTAGGTAGACAGTGGCTCACATGTAGAAACCAGGGAAGTGTTTAGGAGGCTGCTCAAATCCCTTAGTTCTTTCAAATGTAAAATATCCATATATCATTTTAAAATAAATTATGAAACAGAAGGAAAGCTGCAAAATGTAATAAAGTGATGCTTTCACCTGAGCTTAAAAACAGAACAATGAATCTTTCACAACATCTGAAACATCCAGAAGTTTTCTCTGATGACTATAAAAAAAGGAGGAGTGGGGACAGACATGTGAACTCCTTTCTTCCTATCTGAGTATTTCCTGAGTTCATATAGATCATGTAATTTGTGTGTGGGGGTTACCAGGCATTGAAGTTAGGTTTTAAGAAAAAAATTATACTATTGTTTTTGTGATAAATGTCACAAAGATAAAGTAGGAGGTATTATGACAGAATATATAAGGCAGCTAAGTTCCTTTGGTTCATCGCTTTTCTAATCCAGCCCTGTTAAAAAGCTTATCTACACTATTATCTAGAATATATAAAGAACTCAAAACAATCAACCCCAAATATAAAGGCCCAATTCAAAAATGGGCATCTGAAATGAACAGACATTTCTCAGACAAAGAAGTAAAAGCAGCGTAAATATATGAAAAAATGTTCAACATCACTGGTCATTCGAGAGATGCAGATGAAAACAACATTGAGATTCCACCTCACCCCACAAAGAATGGCTGCTATCAAGAAATCAAACAATAACAAATGTTGGTGGGGTTGTGGGGAGAAAGGAACCCTCCTCCATTGTTGGTGGGAGTGCAGACTGGTGCAACCACTGCGGAAATCAATATGGAGATACCTCAAAGAGCTTGGACTGGAGGTTCCATTTGACCCAGCCATCCCTTTGCTGAGTATCTTTCCAGAAGAATTAAAAGAATCATGTCACAGTGACATATGCGCACCTATGTTTATAGCAGCACAGTTTGTAATAGCTAAAACTTGGAAACAGCCCATTTGCCCATCAGTTGGAAACTGGATAAAGAAGATGTGGTTTTTCTATAAAATGGAATACTACTCAGCCATAAAGAATGAGAAAGTAGATTCATTCATAGGTAAATGGATACATTTTGAGGATATACTCCTAAGTGAAATAAATAAGTCACACATGTGTAAATACTGAATATTTTTTGTGGTGTGAAAATCTAAAATAGTACTCAAGATCCTAATGGGATAATTAGCAATGTGAAATAGGAAGAAAAGCGCTAAAGGTGTAGAGACAGTGAGAAGGGTAGGGGAAGGGGAATAAGGGAAAGGGAAAAAATGTGAGAAAATGTAAAAATGGAATTAAAGTGTTTGTAGGTGGGGAGGGGAGGAGGGGGTGAAGGGAGGTGGAGACAAGGGGAAAAATGAGAATCAAGACCTGTCATGTAAAGATACAAGTTCCCTGAAATGAGTGTAACTGTGCTGTATCCCTAGAATGAATTAAAAAAAGCTTATCTACAAATGAATTTTCTTCACAATGACTTTCTCAGTAATGACATTATTCCATTTGTCACTTTTTAAATTCATATCATTATTCCTTCAAGAACTGGCACCTATCAATTTCTCCTTTCTTGAAGATTTAGGCTCATGACCAAATAAAGCAGACTAGGTTTGAAAGAAAGTATCATGCCCAGGAGTTGCTGACTGACAGTGTGGGTAGAGGAACCTTACACAGGCCTGAGCAGTAGTCCACCTCCTATCCTTCATCCAGGGAAGAGGACTTAGTTCTGAGCCTATGCTTCAGAGGGTCTTAATATCTACATACACACACACACACACACACACACACACACACACACACACACACACAATTTGTTAAAGACAATTGTTGTTGGTTAAGTCTTTACTGAGTTTACATATTTCATATACTTTTAAACATTTAAATATACTTAAGTGGTTTTTGAACTTGGGCAAAAAACACCTAAATTCTTTTTGAACAAGGCAAGGTATAAAATAACTCAATGTAAGTTTGCACATAGGATATAGCATACACATATAAATGAAAATATCAGCAGTTCACTCCATTGATAAACCTGTTTTTTTTCAATTGTTTCTATAATTATATATCATGGAGAAAAGTGAGATTTTGTCATTTTTCATTATTTTTAATCATAGCATGCGCTGTGTCTCAGAAATATATGAAGAATAAACATTTAAAGTTCCCTTGTGATATCATTTCTTAGAGATAAGTATTATGGAAAGTATTCTTATAATAATGTCTACAGTAAAACAATGTAAAACATTTTAGAAATGCTTTTTTAAAAAAACAAATCATCCTGTCACTCCACAAATATTATTAGTGGAGTTTCGTGGAGAAGCCCGGCTACTTTTCCAGCACACAGAGTCTCTAGACAGGACTGAATCACGACATTTAGGTGGATGGATGGAGAGGAAATTTAGGTCTTATCCATTTTAATTTTGATCATAATTCCTAGGAATTTAGCTTCTTTCTCCTCCTGGAAAGGGATATAACTTAGCCTTGATTGCAATCTCTGGGGAAGTCAGATCTCCCACCTAGCACTGCTGTGCTCATATAGCACAAAAAGTGGCAGGGAAACCAGACTCTGGGCTTTGGTCTTAGGGGAGAACAGGAAACAACTGCAGAATATTTGAGCAGTGGATATGGTGTGGCCTACGTGTTTCCTTTGCCTCTCTGTCTATGATCCTACCTTTCCACTGGGTGGGTTGGCAGCAGCGTTCTCCATATTTTAATCACATCCTGTGCAGACATTAAAAAAGAGGACTTCCCACAACTATTTCAGAAAGTGGCAAGAATGATGGGATAACTGTTTGAAGTGAAGGGATGTATTGTGAGGCAGATTTGTATCATTGTGTCTTTTACTGTAATAACTTCTAAAAATTTAAAAATTGCCCACGTTGCTCAAACATACCACATTTATCAACTGCTTATGCCAATGTCTGTAAAATAAAAACATTACAGTATGTTCTCATTGACTTAATTCACCAGATCTGGCACCATGTGACTTCTGGCTCTTCCCTAAAGTCAAAATAACCACGAAACGTAAATGCTGAACTGATTCAGGACACTGAGGTAGGCATGACTGCACAACTAAAGACACTCATGAAAGAAGTCTTCTACAACTGGTAAGAAGGATGGGCTAAGAATGAAGCTAAGGGAAGTATGTGGAGAGAGACTAATGGTTGTGTGTCTTTTACTACTATGAATTTAAAAAATTTAAACATCCACCATATACTTTGATCACCCCTTTTACCTTTTCCATTATGTGAATTGACAATTTTTTCTCTCCATATATTCAGCCTTTGAATTTTATTTACTGGGTTTCTGTTGCATTGAATTTTCATCTTTTTTCCAGCATTGGGAATTGAACCCAGTGCCTGAGGAATGTTACGCAAGCACTCTCTTGCTAAGCTTCATTTCTAGACCCATTTTTAATAACTAAATAAACAAATTGTGGCATTCTAAAATGAAATTGTACCATATTTAAAATTTTTTGTTTGTGGAAAAATAGTATTTCAATTGCAAATATCTTCCATGAAAAAGATCTTTACTAGTCTGGATGGGATAATTTTTTCCCATTTCAACTTCTAATGAGTTACTACTCATATATACTAAAAATAGCTTTTGACTTGATATACACATATTTTTGTTTTAGTATTCTATAATATATAATATTGCATTTACCGTTGATTGGGAAAAACTCTTTACCAAATTTAGGTTATCTTTTCTATTTTAGCATCATAGCAGTTTTCATTAAGAGTAAGCTCAATTTAATTAAACACATTTCAGTATCTATTATGCAAACTTAAAACATCTTATAATTTATGGAAATCATTAATTACTTTGACAAATTGCCTAAAATTGACTCATGTTTGAATTTCTGAAGGAATCTTTTGGATTAAGGAATGTTATGGTGTATTTTTCCTCTTCCCCCAGCATTGGGGATTGAACCCAGACTATCAAGCACTGAGTTACATTCCCAGCCCTCTTCATGTTTTGTATTTGACACAGTCTCATCAAGTTGCCCAGACTTGCTGGAAATTGCAATTCTCCTGCCTTGGCTTACTTACTTAGTAGCTGAGATTACAGAGATGCACTATTACTATGCCTGGCTACATTATATTTTTCTCTCACTATGGTATTATATTTCAAATGCTAATATTTTGCAAATTTTTACATCTATATTATTATTATTGTTGGTCTAGTTTTCCATTTGGTACTGTCTTTTTTTGGGTTTTGATTTAAAGGTAAGCAAAGGAGTGGTTAATGGGGAACAGGAACCAAGTAGTTTGG